GGGGGGGGACATGTGCTGTCTGGGGACAGTAGCTGCTGAGGAAGGTGTATTCTTAGGTTTCACACAGCTTTTGCTTTATTGTTTGTTTTAGAACCACCATTAAACGCCCCAAATAATGACCAGTCTGCATCCATCCATTAATTGAATGGATCATCCCATTGATTTTCACCTGCTTCATCCTAATTGGCTTCATCGTCGTGAAACTTATGAAGAAATCAGGGACCACAGCAGGTGAGAATCAGGCTGGCCTCTGGCTCCTGGGCCTGTCATGTTCTGGTAAGGACTTGGGAGAGGTGAGCCACGGGTCTCACCCAAGCGCCTGTCCACTGATCCATCTCTACCTAGAAACGCTGCACTTTCTCAGTCTTGGGCCCCCACACTTCCCAGTAGGGCTGGGGATTACTCTGCTGTTGGGGTAGAAGAGGCTGGTATGGGCAGCAGGACAGTGCAGTGAGGGGAGGGGAAACCAGGCATCCACTTCTGTGGGGGGGAGGGGGCGGGCCAGGTCTAAGATCTCAAAAGGCTGCAGGCGGGGTGGGTGTTGTCTTGCTGAGATGGTACCCAGGGTTCCCCCATCCTGTGATGAAAACATTTTTTGTGCTCTGATGATAGAGTGATTTAGTTCAACAATTTACCTGATGTTCTAACAGCCATTCCATCATCTGATGTTTCTTCCCTGGGCCAGGAGAAGGTGGAAATGTTAGACCAACCCTTGGTGGAAAAAACTGACCCTTGATGACAGTCTGGCTGCTGATCTAATATATTATCTTCTACTCAGAGGTGGGTTTACCAAGAAGGTAAAGAACCCCTTGCTTTCCACGGCTGTTGATGAGCTCTTACGGCCGGAGTTAAGCGGAAAGGAAACGTGTCCGACCACCTTCCTGTACCTTTGGGAGGAGCCTCTCCACTGTGTCTCATAGGCCTTCCCGTCAAAGGGAGGGTCAGCACCTGAAATAAAAGAGAGCTCTGTGTGCCCAGTTGTACTGGGCCATTACCTAACACAGTGCACAAAAATGCAATCATAATGGACAAAAGACTTAAATATAAGACCTAAAACTGTAAAATCTTAGAAGAAAACACAGGACAAAAGCTTCACGACATTCGATCTGGCTATGATTTCTTGGATGTGACACCAAAGACACAGGCAACAAAAGAAGAAAATAAACAAATTGAACTTCATGAAATTTAAACATTTTGCACATGGAAAGACAGTATCAAAAGAGTTAAAAGGCAGCCCACTGAAAGGGAGGAAGTGTTTGCGAATCATATGTCTGATAAGGGATTAATATCCAGAATATATAGAAAACTCCTAAAACTCAACAACAAAAACACAAACAACCTGATTGAAAAATGGGCAAAAGGCTTGAACAGATATTTCTCCAAAGAAGATATACCGTAGGCACATGGAAATTGCTCAACATCACTAATCATTAGGGAAATAGAAATCAAAACTACGGTGAGATTTCCCCTCACACCCATTAGGATGGCTTCCATTAAAAAAAGAGAAAATAGCAAAGAACATAACGAGGTTGTGGAGTAATTGGAAACTTTGTGCATTTTTTGATGAGGATGTAAAATGATATAGCTGCTGTGGAAAACAATATGGCCGTTCTTCAAAAAATTAAAACTAGAATCGCCATATGATCCAGCGATTCCACTTCTGGGTATGTACCCAAAAGAATTGAAAGCAGGGTCTCAAAGAGATACCTGTACATCTATGTTCATAGCAGCATTATTCACAATAGGTAAAATGTGGCAGCAACCCAAGTGTCCACTGATGTATGAATGAATAAGAATAATGTATTATGTAGACACAATGGAATATTTTTCAGCCCTAAAAAGAAGAAGATTCTAAAAAAAAAAAGAAGAAGAAAATTCTGACATGCTACAACAGGGATGAACCTTGAAGATATTCTGCTTAGTGAAATAAGCAAGTCACAAAAAAACAAATACTGTGTGATTCCACTTATATGAGACACTTAGAGCAGACAAAATCATAAGATAGATTTTATGAAAATAGAAAGGTTGTTGCCAGGGGTTAAGGGGAGGGGGAAATGGGAGTTAATGTTTAATGGGTACAGAGTTACAATTTTACAGTGATAAGATCTATGGAGAAGGATGGGGGTAATGATTGCACTGCAGTGTGAATGTGTTTAATATCACTGAACTGTATACTTAAAAATAGCTAAGATGGTAAATTCTGTTATGCATATTTTATCACACACAGAAAAATGTTAAGGGTGTCCACAGTTCCTGGCTCATCCCTGGTGCTGCATTCCTGGCAGCGAGCCTCTTTCCTGACCCCTCCTACAGGGCTCTGAGTGAACCAGTATACAGCAGGACTGGCTCCAGAGAGAGGTGACACTAAGATGATGATGAAGTGGGTGTCCACGGCTGAGCTGGGTTGGTAGGGTAGGGAAGGGTGGAGACAGCTCAAGAGTGCCTACAGCAGGGAACTGAAAATGTGAGCCTGGGACCTTACCTAAAGCTGGAATATCCCTGTTCGTGTTGTGGGTTCCCCAATAGGTCTCCCTGGTCTTCAGAGCCTGAGAAAGGGAAGGAGATTGTGTGACTGGTACTTTGCCGGAACTCCCAAAACTTTTGGCAGCCGGGACTTCCATGGTGGTCCAGTGGTTAAGACTCCACGCTGCCAATTCAGGGGGCCCAGTTTCGATCCCTGGTCAGGGAACTAGATCCCGCATGCCGCAACTAAGAGCCTGCATGGAGCAACAGAGATCCCATGGGCCGCAACTAAGACCCAGCGCAGCCAAATAAATAAATAATATTTTAAAAAAAGAACTTTTGGCAGGGACTGGAATTAACTCTTGGTGGAATGGAAGAGAAAGATGGTACAAGTCAGTGAACAGAGAGGTGATGGGAAAACAAAAGTGACTCTCTCCCTGAAGAGGTGAGGAGGCCGGCTCTGGGCTGAAAACCTCTGTGATCTCTCTGGCCGGCCTCACAGCCTCACGTGGAGAGCTGCCCTCCCCACCCCAGACTGATGACAGCAAGGCACTGCAGTCTCTCTCTTCAAATATTCATACTCCCAGCCCCAGAGCCCTCCTTCCTAGGTCTTATTTTCTCAGGCCCTGGGCCAAGGTTCTCTTCTGGTGCTTCTGCTGAGGCCTCCTTAAATGAAGAGGACGGAGAAACCTGGAAGACCCTTGTCCCCCCTCTGACTCAGACCCAGGTCTCTCCCCTCCAAGTCCTTCCCCTGCCTCCACCTCAGGGTCCATAAAGCTGCTGGAGCCTTTCACTCCGGTCTCTGAACAGTGAGGCCACCCTTCACATGCCATTCCATTGGGGAAAATGGAATAGGGGAGTTGGCATAGCCTCTGGGTTCAGACTCTGGCTGTGCTCTCACAGTAAATGATCAAAGGCTTAACTCTATCATTTTAGGCTTGTCGCTTTAATCAGCTGGAACGTCTCCCAGCTCAGCTGAGCTCCTTACAAGGAGCTGTGGGGTGTGGTCTGAGATCTGGAGAGACTTGGAACAGGCCAACCATGTCATGATCTGACCCAGGTTGCCTCAGCTTGGAGACACCAACAGGAAGCAACACACAACTGGTGTGAGTCACTTGTGCCCCTAATAGCTGAGGGCCTTGGCTTCTAGCCATTGCTCTCTCCCCTAAGACTAAGAGGAGCTGCGCACCCCAAGCCAACGTCAGAGGGCGCCATCGGCCAGGCTGCGGCTTGACCTGTCACAGCTGCTCCACTGGGCCCATCCGGAGCTTCCAGGGTGTCCAGAGAGATTTCCCCCTGAATTATCCCCAACTTCACTCTCTCTGCTGATGCTCATCCACACCCACCCGCAGCAGTGCTTCACTTCCTACCTGCGTTACGTGTCATACTGTCTTCCAGAGCTGCGAAGTAAATAACCATTTTACTGAAATAAAAATCGAGCCACCGGTGCTTTGTGACCGCCTGGAGGGGTGGGATAGGGAGGGTGGGAGGGAGGGAGATGCAAGAGGGAAGAGATATGGGAACATATGTATATGTATAACTGATTCACTTTGTTATAAAGCAGAAACTAACACACCATTGTAAAGCAATTATACTCCAATAAAGATGTAAAAAAAAATAATAATAAAAAAAAGAAAAAAAAAAGTAGAACCATATGCTGGCAAACTACAGCTCACAGACCTAATCTGCCCTGCCACCTGTTTTTGTAAATAAAGTTTTATTATAATACAAAAAACCCCAGCATTATTGAGATATAGTTGATATAATATTTAATTTGATGAGTTTGGGCATACGCATATACCTATGAAATGATCACCACGATCAAGGTAATAAACACCCATCACCTCCAAAAGTTTCCTCATCCCCCCCTTTCCTGAGGGTAAGAACACAGCACAAAAGTCTACCCTCTTAAGTTTTTAAGTATACAATGCAGTATTGTTAAGGTGCTGTGTTGTACAGCAGATCTCTAGAACTTATTCATCTTGCGTAACTCTCCATTCATCTCACATTCACTAGATTCCGTGTGAGTCTGTCATCCAGGACAGGCTGAGATCTTCTTGGCTCTGTAAGAATATTCTTCTTGCTAGAATATGATAGGTGTCTCATGGTGAAAGTTGCAATGGCTACCAGATAATCAGTCTTTTCCACTGAGAAGATAAACCTGTGTCTACAATACCTGATTATGCTAAAACAGTCTGACTTCTTGCCTAACTTGAGTTATATCACACAGAGCCCCTCAGTTTCTTTGATGTCAAACTCCAGGAGAGTGAAGGTGTGGGAATTCCGTCTCAGACAGAACTGATACCTTGATTGGAGTCCTCACTCAATGTCTCTCTCATTCTAGTCCGTTCTCTTTTCAGAAGGCTGCTTTTAATACATCCTGCTCTAAAACTTTTAGCGTCTAACAAAGTGTTTTCCAAGATCCTTAGCCTGGTATTTTAATCCCACCTCCACCCTATCTTTTCTTGGCATGCATTTCTAGATTACTCTTCTACTTTTCCCCATGTTGTAGCTAAACAACACTAGATGCTATACTAAGAATACACCTTTCAGGTTCCTGACCCCATGCCAATATCCACTATTTCCTTTTCCTAGTATTCCCTCCTCCCCATGTTTAAATTCTACCCATTCTCTGCATTTCGGCGAAATGCTGTCTCTTTCTGTGAGAATCAGTTCTCCATGCGCTGAAATTTCACATGACTTTGGTGCTGCCTTCCATTTCACATGTATCACCTATTTCCTTGACTATGTGTATTCATGAGCATGTCTTGTCTTATTTGTCCTGCTACATCTACAGCCCCTGGAGGCCAGGGACTGTCGTATTAATTTTTGCATTCCTCGTGCCTCACACATCAATAGGCCTTCCAAAACCTTTTGGTGGACCAATCAATTTATTGAAGAAATGAATTAAAGAAGCAGTTAGAAAAATATGTTTATTATACCACTGTTTGGGAACAAAGCTTCACCATTCTCCATTCCTAGGAACCGTGCACTGACTATCATTTAGGTATATATGATAGCTACCCATCATTCATTCTACAGTATAGTCCAAACTGCTTTCAATTTTATTCTTTTCCATAAAGGTAATTTGTTAATAGCCTAATCAGATGTGGTTTAACTATTATATCTTTTGATAATTTTACAAATCAGGAAAAATGTCCTTTTCAGAAAATGGGCTTTGATGGTGGACTTAGGCAAGCATCCCACTTCTACTACCTGGTAAAGAAATCATTCTCTGCCAAGACCTCGCTAGATGTCCCAACCCCAAAAGGCCAGGTCCTACCTGTAAAGGGGAGAAATTCTCTACGAAGAACTCCAGTTTTAATTCAAATTTAGAGGCATTTTAAATCAACGAATCTCGCTCTGTCTCAGACTTTCTGAAGTCCATCGTGAAACATACTTGGTTTCACTAAATTTAAATAGTAAGAGAAGACCAAGTAAGTTTACAAAGGTAAGAAATGATTTAAGCCTACTTATACTCCCTGTTTGAGTAATAAGAAGCTTTGACTTATTTATTTAAAAAAATGTTGGAAGAGGAAGTGCTGCTTCAGGATAATGGAAGGCACAGGTATTTGCCTCTAATTATTTAAAATAATTTAAATCTTGGTTCAGCCATATTTTAAAGAACACCTTGCCTTTGCAAAAAAAAAAAAAAAAACAAGGGAAATGTGGTGACATTCAGACTTCTTTCAGCCTTTTCAAAATATTAACAAGTTCAAAAAAAAGTTGGTTCTGAATTGTGAGCTGAATATATGCCACCTGTAATATTTACCTGAATTGTACATTCAGAATAGAATATTGTTTAATCTCTTTTAACTTGCAAAAAAACTTTCTTTTTTTCTGAAAAGACACTTGAACTTTCCGTGTTGGCTACATATGAAAATATGTCAAACACCCAGATTCTACATCTCTAGATATTCAAAACTAATTATTCCTTAATTTGCATGTGAAAGCAAATTACAATCTAGTAGACCATTTCCCTAGCAAACCTTTCTTTAGCTTAATGAGCAGAATGAGAAAGCCTCTTATGACCTGATTAAAAAGTCTCCATGAGATGCAACAGGCTGCTGCTTACATATCACATGATCAGAAGGGAGACAACAAAGATGCAAGTGCTCTTATTTACAACAGGGAGCTGAGCTCAGCCCAGGACGATCAATAGCCAATTGGTTTCTTATGTACTATGTGTGAGTACTTTAATTCTAGATGGAAATTCATCAGCAACTTCCACTTGATGAGATGACCTTCTACAATTAGAAGGACTGGGCTACATATAATCATTACAAACTTCCAATTGTATTATCCCACTTTCCAGATAATGCACGGGGTATTAACCCAACCCAAGTTCTTCAGAAGTGTCTTGAAACAGAGATGGCCTGCATCTTAAATTAAAGGAATGGAATATGCCAGTGTACCATTTATCTGTTGCCATAAAATGCTATATAACAAACCATGCTACAACTCAGTGGCTGACACACTGTAGGTCACCCTAGGGGCTGGCTGATCTAGGCTGGGCTCAGCTGGACTTGGCTCCAAATTGTGAGTTTCATTCGGGTCTACTCCATATGTGTTTATTTTCTGGGAATGGTGGGCTGCCTGGGGTACATATTTTCCTGGTGGAGATCGAAAGATCCCAGACTGGCATGTGGAAACACAGGATACTTCTTGAAGTCTAGGCAGAAACTGTCACCCAGTCTCTTCCACCCACTGGCCAAAGCCAATCATTTGGGAAAAGTAATGCATTCTATCACAGCTACTGTGCATTAGGATTTTTAAAAAGGAATGATTATTCAAAAGGGGTTACTTCTTCCTCATGTCTGTATTTTTTAAGTAAATATATTGCTCTGCGTTGAATAGATCAAGCTGAAATTATCTTGCAGTTGCCCTTGACTTGATTCTCTCTTTCTCATTCCCCAGATCTTCCTTTCCTTCCACTTTCTAAAATCCAAAACTTACTGTGTCCATTCTCTGCTCAAAAAACCATTAGTGAATCCCTATTTTCCACTGATAGAGCTCAAATCTTTGGCTGGCTTCAAAATATCCTTCACAATATAGTGATAGAGGAGACCCTCTCTCAGTCTCTGTTGGATATTCTCTTTTCTTTGTCCCACCTGCCTGGCGAATTCTTATTCGTTTGTCACAGCCTAGGTGAGACTTTACAACTTCTGCATATCCTTCACTAATCCCCTGGAGAATTTTCTGCTTCCTTATCTGTGGTTTCCTAGCATGTTATACATATGGCCATGTGTCACTTATAATAATAGATTGGAATTGGTCATTCACATGTCTTTTTTTCTACTAGACTGTGAAATCCTTGGAGACGGGGTCCATGTCTTATTAATTTTCTATCTTTAGTGCTTATCTCTATGCCTGTAACATGGTAGAGTTCAGATAAGGTGGTTGGATTGAATTGAAGGAGATTCTTTTAATGACTTTTTTTTTAAGAAGTAAAGATGGCCATGGCACAAGTAGATATGTTCAGTCTCACTAATAATTAAATGAACTATAAAGAAACAAATGAAAGTTACAAAGATGCCACTTTTACTTTTCAAATTGGCAGTTATGTTTTTAAAAAGCTAAAACACAGCTTGTAAGGATATGGATATCTGGAATTGCTTATGGGAGTTTTAATGACAACTTTTTAGAGATTTTTATCGTCAGGTTTCAAAATGCTTAAATATATTCACATGTGTTGACTCAGAAATTTGGCTTCAAATAATTTATCAAATGGAAATAGAGATGTGAAAAAAAATCTTATGTATGGTCATTGATTGTGGCATCATTTATAACAGGAACAAATAGAAACATCTAAATTTCTAACAATATGAGATGGGTTAGATAAATCATGGTGTATATAACACTGGCCTGCGAAGTCTGCAGTTATTAACAGGGATAGTTAATAAAATGGGGAAAATGTTTACTACATATTTTCCAACAGATACTAGGTTATAAAACAGAGCATACAGAGTACACTGTATGAGGCCAATTTTGCAAAATATCAATATAATGGGGTATTGATATTTGCATCCTATCTGAACAGAAAAGTGAACTTGAAGGAAATATAGCAAAATATTAAGAGTAGTTGCATCTACGTGTAGTAATCACAGGGTGACCTTACTTTATTTTTGTGCTTTTGTCTAAGTTTCCAAATTTTCCATGGTGAGCATATATAACATTTACAGTAAATGAAAAGGTCTAAAAATATTTTTCTTAACATATTATTATGATACGGTAACTTGTATTGTTAAGTGGGCTTGTGAGAACTGCAAATTATTGATTATACATAGCACTTTATATGTGAGTTCTGCTACTTTTGAGCCTTTAGTCTTGTTTATTTTTAGAATAGCTTTCATTTTTTTCTGTAATTAACTAAGAACTGAAATGAATTTTCTAAATAGGATTGTTCTTAATATAAATGCGAAATCCTGTTTTCTCTAACGTAATTGTCCATTAGAGTGAAAGTAACTG